TACAACAGTTCAATAAACAAGTTAATATTAAGAGACTTACGTTTTAGACACCATATTGCCTGTTTTTGTTCTATTTCGACAACAAAAATAATTCCAAACAGAACCACAGCACTGTTTTGCATCTCTAAACAACATGACGTGTTTCATTCCTGAATGAATCAACCGTTTAAATGATCCGGTTCAATCGCAATGGCTCACTTATTAACAGTGACTTGCTGTCACCTTTTGGTGGTTTTAATTTCACATTTAAAGTATCTTTCCTTTTTTTTTATCATTTCAAATAGCAAAACATTATTAATGCATTTGTAACTGCAGGTTCAATCATTCAATGTCGCTCAGAGCTGCATTAAACAGTGTGTAAATACATCTAAATGCCACTTCAGATGCAGCTTCTGCGTTTCCTCTGCATTGCAAAGATACATTTTGTTGATACTGATTTCATTTGCCTGGTAAAAACCCAAAACTCTTATTCTAACCGACTGATTAAATGTAAGAATTGTAAATGTAAAGAAAATGTAAGAAAAAAAAGATGTTGGCACAATAACACATTCGATTATCGATCCAGAAAATATCGAGATATCTTTTTTTGTCAATATTGCACACCCATAATCACAGTCGAACATAAGTCAGATCCAATCATATCGCGATGGAGGCGTTGCCTTCTCTCACGTGACTTTCCCCATTCATTCTCAATTACCCCCCACCAAACTCCCAGCACGCTTTGGGGGTCTGTTAAAACTCAATGGGCTCAGGGGAGGCAAGCCTCCGCTGAAACTTTGCCTGCGGGTGTCGCTGTTAGACATTGTTACTTTTGAAAAACTAGTAATTTATACACTTTTTATTATTATACTTAGTAATATGGGCGTTGTTTTATTTTTGTACTACAAATTTTTTTTCTCATCCAATGTTTTGAGGAGACACTGCCTCCCTTGTCTCCTCGGAGGAAACGCCCCTATAGTGTATACATTTTATTGAGTCACTAATGTTACCTGTTTTGTCACACTCTGAAAAAGGTCTATGCTTTTTTTCAGTACTGACTACACAGGGTTGAAAAGTTTTTATTAATGCAAAAAGATAAATAAATAAAACAAATATTTAAATTTGTAAAATGTCTTAAAAAGACTTTAAAATGTCTGTAAAAATAGGGCCCAATGTACTGTGTTCATAGTTAAGGAATTTTATGTGTGAATTTTTTTACAGGTTTTTTTCCTGTATTTTAAATTATGCATCGAATTGACCATTCGCGAAGACGCTTAGTTACTACCATGGTGCTCTCATGCCACACACCGTGAGAGCACCATGCAGTGAAAAATACTACGTGGAGCAAAGATGACACTGATAACGTGCTGACAGACAAGACAGAGCAGGTTACTTTTAAGTGAGTGAGTGAAGTTAAGTGAGGTGACGTGTGGCCAAGTGTGGTGACCCATACTCGGAATTTGTGCTCTGCATTTAACCCATCCAAGCGCACACACACAGTAGTGAACACACACCCACCGTGAACACACTCCCGGAGCAGTGGGCAGCCATATTGCTGTGGCACCTGGGGAGCAGTTGGGGGTTCGGTGCCTTGCTCAAGGGTCTCACTTCAGTCTTGAAGGTGGAAGAGAGCACTGGTTATTCAGTCCCCCCACCGGCAATTCCTGCCGGACCTGAGACTCGAACCCGCAACCTTCGGGTTACAAGTCAGACTCTCTAACCATTAGGCCTGTCCTAGACTGCCCCACCAAAGATTTTGTTTTTGGTGTGAAACAAAATCTCAGCTTTCAAACTGTGCCATTTTTTAAGAAATTCAAACAATAAATACTGTTTTGTGGCTCTTTAATGTGTCATAACAGATTGCTGCAGTGCCTCAGTTCACGCAGCATTAACCGATCATCTCTTCCTCTTTACTAGTTATAGCACTAAATCAACATGAGTGAACATCAGAAGGTATCTTGTTTTCAGCTGTGGAAAGACATCAATACACACCCTTTTTGAAGTTCAAGCGCACTCTCCTGTCGGGCTTGTTTGTCGAACAAATTGGCAGATTTGGTATTATGATTGGTCAGATCGCCTGTCAATTAAACTCCCGGCGAAGGGTGAATTGCGTTATGCTTTAGAGTAAATGACCGTAGACTTATCGGATAACGTCCTGACCGAAAACCACCAGTGCATTTCCTGTTTTTCGATGGATTTCTTTCTTTCAGTGTGTATTCTGCAGCCCATCTTAAAACCCAAAGCAGGATTCCTCTACACTCTCCTTGATTTATCCGAGAACATTCTGTCTTGTTTCAGTACAGATCATCTCTACACGTCATTGGAGTAAACAACCCTGTCTGTCATGCTTTTCACTCAAACCTATAGAGTGTGTCAGCATTCGATGTGTCTGTAAGAGTAGCTTTAGACTGTGTGTGCGATCCATGAAGGTTGTCCCTCCCAGAACGAATCACTTGAGCACTTTGGATGGGCAACAATGAGAAAATCCCTCTAAAAGCCCTGCTAAGAGCAAACTGCAGAGAATACTAAACACACACACACTCTTGTGCTGTATATAACTGAGGGAGAAAGAGTGGCGTAACTCAGATAGACATTATACAAACAAAACAGGCATGAGTGTTACGGTATTGAACTGTATGGAACATGAGTAAGTGACTGCAGAAATTAGCAGAACATTTGCTAATCAAACAATACACATTCTCTTACTGCAGTCTGGGTTTAATCAGACTACTTACCTGGTTTTTCACCTGAGGGACCAGATCTTCAGGAATGTCACCTAACGGATAGGCCCGTCCTGCCAAACAACAGCTGGCAGAGGAGAAAGGACAGATGTGTTATGGCACGCAACTATGTATGAGTGCAGCACTTATGCAGAACGTCATCTCACCTGATGTACACCAGCAGTTTATTTCCCATCACAACATGCTCATCTGTGGAAGGAGACAAATGGGAAAATTAGATTATGTGCATTTTAGCATTAGCTGACCAGATTTTAGAAATTTAAAAAAAAAACTCTACTTCAGCAGTGTGGCATTTACACTGTTATTATCTATTAATAACAGTGTCATTAAGCAGATTTTGTACATTTTGATCATAGTATGTGAAACTGGGTTAGCTGGCATGGCATTCCCTTCAGGGTTTGTAAAGGTTTTGGAAAGTTTTTTTCGAATATGGTTCTGTGTGTCATCATAAAGGGTGGAATTACTTTTATGGGCACTTCTCCCGGAAGAGCGCGTGCACACAGCAAACTTATAGTTTGCAGAACAGATAGCAGAACATTAGAACATTACAATCTAAAATAGTTCTTTAAAACATTAAAACAACTAAATTAAAAGTTAAAATCACTGAATTAAAAAAGAAAATAAATAATAAAGAAAATGACTATTTTAACTGCTATAGGAAACACATTAACTCATTTGAGCTTAGTAATTAGTATACGGTGTCTAGCTTACATTTGATTTACCTATTACAATAGTCCCTTTACAGGTATTGCTATCATAAAAATACACGTATACGTAGGTTTAAAATTCTACAAAAGACACATTTAATGTCCAACAACAAATATTTTAGCAAAATTTATATTTTATGTGTATTCTGTTTAGCGCGCATGCACGCAGCAGCGCTCGTTCACTCGCGTGCCTCGCCCACTCCTGACAGCAAAATGGATATGTTTGCGTGACTTTCTGACATTTACAGATGGAAAAATATACCTGTGACATGTCAGTTATGCACAGAGGAAAACACAATGTCTCAAATGCATTAAACAGTAAAGATATATTCGCTGTTTGCGATGGTGGATCGATTTGATCCATGATCGACATTAAGAGCTGCTTAAAAATAAACGTGCACAAATTAGTGAGATTGTGTGAACTTAATTTGTCATTTATGGAACCGCTTTAGGCCCGATTGATTTGTTAGGTTATTTCAAGTCAGGTTTTGGACTTTAATCCCCACTTTTTCTCGGGTCTCCGTGGTGTTGTGATTCGTCATATTCACGCAGCAGCAGTGATGAGAGAGCGCGCTCGAGAAACAGTTTAGAGAGGAGAAATCAATCTACATATAAAACATTGGTCACAATAAAAGTATAGCGCATCCACTAGTAATTATATATTAATAAATCGTTTTTTATCGATGCAAATATGTTAGAAACGATGCATCGCGATATAAATGCCAACTTGTAGCCGATGCACACTTTTTAAACCGATGCATTGCATCATTAACTTTTTATGCCGATGCACCGAGCAAATCCGGGAATCTTCCCATCCCTAATATATATATAAAAATTGTGATTTAAAATGCAAAATTGAAAACCGTAGGGAGCCCTTTAAGCTTCTCTTTTGTAGATAAACACAATTTTTGATAAAAGTCATCTCGCAATTCCGGTTTTATTTCAATTAAACGTGCAGCCTTACAATTGATAATGCACAATAAAAAACAGGGACATTTTCGGGGATAGCTCCTGCCAGCTCCTCCAGTTTAGCAGAGTATCTTGATGTATGGGATGTGTTGTTTTATGTTTGCTCTGTTCTACCTGTGAGAGGCTTTCCTTCATGAAGAGGAGGACCAATGGCCTGAAACAGTTTCTGAAAAACCAGGAAAAAGAAGCAGTTAATTTTTATTATTTGACTCTTCATGATACAACCGGGAAAAGTGAGTAAATAGGCTCTCTGCTGATTCATCTGGACATTAACTCTTAAGACAATCTCTTTTTTTATTTTCAGACCAGCAAACACACATAAATATACAGCATGTTTAGAGTTTCTCATATTGTGTTCAAGCTAAAGAAGTACTATATACAACACTGTAGTCTACTCTCCCTCCAGACTCACAGCAGCACCTGCAAGACATGGTCATGTAATCCAGCACAACTCACACTACAGCAGAGTGCTGTTGTGTTTGGTCAGTGTGTATGTGTGTGACATATTGGCCATGAAACAAATGAATCCCTTTCTCAGTCGCCTTTCATCAGGGGTTCAGAAGATTCCCCTGACAACAAGGCTTTCATCTTTTTTTCTAGCTTAATGGTGAGAAACACACCAAAAATCCACACTTTATGGGCAAAAACACACTTGTGTGGATCAAAAACGCACGCGCACACACACACTTGATGTGTCCCCAAAGGCTTACCAGGTTCAATTTAGTGTTTTTTGCTTTGTGTGGCAATTATATCATCAGAGCATGAATAGAAAAACTAACATTAAAACCTGGAATGCATGACTTTTGCCCAGCTTTTGACCCAATTTAGAGTCTGGACGAGTCCATGCTAGATGTCAGAGCCTTTCTTCAGATTTTGGGCAGTTGGAGTTAAAGTGTATGATGGGCACAGATATTTTTTAGCTTCACTCCATGATTCCATCCAGTTGAAAGACATTGAAAATGAATAATATGTTGAGCTGATTTTAGAAGACATATCATAGTGACATATGATAATGTATGATGTGCTTTACTTAATGTGTTAGTTCAAAAATGTTGACCATAATGGATGTGCTCAGTTTATGTGCATTGATCATTTGTATATGTAAAATTGAAGATTAAATTAAATCTGTTCATTCTATAAAGCCTCTTCAGTAGACTTCAGTAGATTCATATGGATTTCATTTACATAAAGATTTCTTCTATTCATCTCTTGATGAACCTTCTGAAAATAAGAAATTCGAAGAAATTTAAAAATCACCAAACCAGGACAGAAAGCTCTCAGGTTTCATTAAAAA